CATTCAGAAGTAGTTTTAAAACATTAAAAACATTTTTTTAAGATTTTATCCACTTTTATTTCAAGTTTAGTTTTAAAAAAAATGTATAATTTTAAAGGAAAATGCTTCAGAAAATAGTGATTTTCTTTGTTTTGTATAATTTAATCTAATCAATAGCATTCTTACTAGAAATCTTTCTAAAGTTAGAACATATTGACAGTTTTCTTTGGTATTTGAATTTGTATCTTAAACTTTTTTCTTTATAGATAGAACAAATCGACAAATTCATACCTTAAAAAGAGGTTTTCTTCCTCTGCTTAAGAATCTATAAGTATTTGATTAGTTTGTTAATTACTGATAGCATTAATTATGTTTGAAGAACTTAAACATATAAAACAAAATGGTAGTTATCTCAGATGACTGTGTAAGTCCATAGGGAAATTTAATTTCCTACAAATTGTATTTTGTTACGTCTGCATTCATTATATCTCTTACTTAGATTCCCCAGTGGTATTTTTAATCATTTCTTAGATCAATAGTGATCAGCTATTATCCATGCCTATGTGACTTGTATAGATCCTTTATATTAAATACTGCCTGTGCATCTTATCGTACTTTGATTACATACGTACTTGACCTTTACACTTAATTCCATAAGATGCTTTCTCCTTTTTTGTCATTTTGACATAAAATAAGTACGGAGTTTTCTTGACCACAGTATGTCTCCTGCTCAGATCCATAATATGTGACAGCACAGCTTTCGTATTTTTCCCTTAACATTTAAAAACCCAACAAACTGAAGTCCATACTTTATTCAGATTTCCCTAGCTTTAACTTAATACTCTTTTTTTTCTGCCCAACAATCTCATCCAGGAAACCACATTACATTTACATGTCATGTTTCCTTAGGCTCCTTTGGGTCTGTGACAGTTCCTGAGACTACACTTGTTTTTGATGATCTTGACAGTTTTGAGGAGGAATATATTATTTTTGTACTCTCTTATAGCTCTTTTAAAATACTTTCCAGAAAAAGAAGTAAGTAATAAAAGTTACTCTCTCTTCATGCCACAGATGAACTTTTTTACCAATGAAGATTAAACCCAAAGAAAAAGAATTCCTCACTTACGGACGACAGTGATCATCATATATTACACTAAAGGGTGTGCACAGGAGTGAAAGAGAATACACATACATTGATCTCACTGCCAAGATGTATGAGAAAAGAGAAATAAAACTGGGAATCATTTTATGCACAGATGGGTCAAGGGACCACTTACAGTAACTTCTGCTATGAGTAGATGTTTTCTGGCTTTATTGAGCCTGGAGCAAGAGGCTTATGCTGCTGCAAGAGGGATGCAGATAGGATACGGTGACTGACAGAGCAGGTTGATAAGCACTGAATAGTTTATTAAGGTAAGTTTGGGGCCCTTTCCAGCGTAGGCAGGGCCTGTATGAGAGACAGAGGCAGACAGAAGAACGAGGGACCTCCTTAGATTCCTGAGTTACTCTTGCTGCAGAACCTCCAAGAGTGTCTAAAGTCCAGAAGTATTAATGATGTTGTATCTCCTCCAAGTAGAACAGCCTGATTTAGCAAATAAAAATACAGGACTCCCAATTAAGCTTAAATTTCAGATGAATGATGAACAGTATTTTTTAGTATAAGTATGTCCCATACAATATCTGGGACATACTTATGCTAAAATTTTATTTGTTGTTGATCTGAACATTCAACATTCTGGATTTTCTAAGGCAACTCCTTTCTGTACCATATTTTTGGGTTCCCCTGGGTGTGTGTGGTGGGAAAGGGGGGAGAAATGAAAAGCAGGAGAAGGGTGTAGGGTGTACAGTCTCTAGCCCCAATCCACCTGTCTCAAGAGAGCAGTTCCCTTAATGTGAAAGACAAATGTGACATCACCTATTCTCAGAAGCTACCCCAGGCTTCAGCTTGTGAAGAAACTATAGTCCTCTTTGATCTCTAGAACAACATTCTTTTTGTCTGCTTTTTCTCTTCATTTATGAGCAAATACCTAATAAGTCTATACCATCTAAACAGTATCCATTGATATATACACATCTCAAAGAAAATCAAACCCAGTGGGACAAGAAACAAGGAGGAGCAAATGTATATTTTCCCCATAACCACCTGATTTCCTATTTGTTCTCCCCTCTACCCAGGCCCTGAATTTACGGACCAGTATTTAGTTTCATCTCTCTCCTCCTCCTCCTCCAACTTTACTTCTGATTTTCTCAGATGTTGGAGAGAATAAAAACTGAACTATACAAAGATTCATCTTATGTTAGATAATTGAAATCTAAGTTTAATTATAAAAATTGTATGTTAAACCATGTTACATGCCCAGGCATAATTTTAAAAATACACAGGAAGAAAAATTTAACAAACTAGAGAATCTGGAAGTGATATAAGTACACTCTTGGCCTCCAAGGAAGTCATCAAAAGTATTAAGTTTGCTATCCTTCACAAATCAACTGGGTCAAAATCAGAGAGCATTTAAAAGCCTGCGCAAAATAGAGTTGACACACCATAATCTTTTAACAGCCTAAATTCTTATTAGCATCAACTGCTGCATAAATGTTCATTATAGTGATTAGAAATGTTAATTTCTGAGAGCCATCATAATTTCCTTTAATATTCTATGGCAGTGTTTTTAAAACTGCAGGTTATAACCCACTAGTGGGTCATGAAATGAATTTAGTGGGATATAATCAGCATTAAAGAGAACAGATTAGAATAGAAAATATTCAATTTCATTGCATATGGTAAATGTAAATACTATTTTATGTAGTTTAATTTCAATTTTCTAAATACATATGGGTAACTACTTGGTTATAATATAAAATGTACTTCATATGCCCTGTCATGCGCAGAACAGTCAGAAAACAAGTAGTCTATAGAACAACAAATAAATTCTAAAACTGATCCAACAGTGAAGAACAGTTTAAGTCTCACAAATTCGTGAAAGAGAAAGAAATTATTTCCAATAGAAGATAGTATGATGGTCAATATATTTTAATATAATATAATTACAATTATATTAATCATAACAGAGCCACTTCTTCATTTGCTCTGCGTTTTGGTTCAAGGTGATAAATGTGGTGTTCCACTATTTATTATCATGCCTTGGAGGTGTATGTAAGTGAGAGCTACGGGGTTAGGTTGTCTGTACCACTTCCTGGCCGGCTCATCTTGGGCACATTACTTAATTGCTCTGTGCCACAATATCTTTACCTATAAAATGGGTCTTATAATAAACTGGTCATCAAACTTCTATAAAGATTAAATAAATTTATACATAGAATGCATCTAACAAAGTGTTTGGCACTTAGCAAGTCCTCAGCAAGTGTTAGTTAATATTTACCAACTAACTAACTTATAATTAGTGTTAGTTGGTAATTAACACTTTAAATTTTGTCTCTGATAAATGGAGAATGGGGCCCAGAGTATGCTTTGTGATTCAGTCCATGTATGGTCCCTTAATTCTTCTGCATGAATGTTGTTTTTTTAGTTCACTGGAAAGAAATACTTTAGAGTGGAGGTTGAGAAACCTGGGACATACAGTATACTTCATGGGATTATGACCTTCCAAAATGTGACCAAGATCTTGAATTAATGTGCATATATACCTTTGGAGAATGGATGGAGAGGACTGACAGTTTCCAGTATCAAAGGGTCACATGTGATTCAATGAAGAGTTAAATAATACTTAGATCTAAGTCCAGGCCTATTAATTAGCATGGCAATCTTGAGCAAGTTACTTAACCTCTGGTAGCTCCACTTACCTCATCTGTAAAATAGGGATTAAAAATAGCTCTAATGTGATGTAGTTGTTGCAATAATTAACATCCATGGTATTTGTAAAGAGCTTGGCACTTAGCACAGTGGCTGCCACATGATGGGTACTCCAGAAAATATTAATAGTGGAATAAGGGTAGGTAAGCTGCAAATCAGAATACAATGGCTGCTGTTCTGAATTTTAATTTTGGAGTACTGAGTCTATCACTGAATCACTGAGTAATCCATTCATTCCTGATTAAATGCTATCATGTGTTAGAGATCGCCTGGAAGCCAGCAACGGACAAGACACACTCTCTGCCCTCACAGAGCTTATGCAGTCTAGGGAGTCTTACAGGCAGCGACCAGCTGTGTGATACCTGCTGGCGCACACATCATCTGTGGGGCTCAGGTTGAATGTGGTTTTGTTTTGCCTTACAGTTCCAGTTTTCACTTCAGTGCTGAACAGAAGCAATATCCTTTTGTTCATTGTAATAGTGAAAATTATTAGTCAAATAATATGCCTATTAAGTGATAGTAAGGGTGGAATCTGATTTGCAGAGCCTAGAGGAAACTGCTCTTCTCTTGGATATGGTTCCAGGGATGAGGACATATAGTGAGACCTCTTTATAATACTGGGACTAGAAAACAGGATAAACACCCACCTTATAAGGGAAAAATCATACATCCCAGCGCATTTCTATTTTTGCCTAAACTTCCAGGAAGCTTAGAGTTAAATTTAATACGCAATTATAACAAATATATTGGCCTAATTTTTTTTTTTGGTTTCTTTCTTCCTTCTTTCCTCTAAATGGTTTTGATTTTCCATTCTTAATGTATTATAATATCTATCTATCTATTCATCTACCTGTATCATCTGTGCCACACCAAATAGTTTTTGAAAGTAGACATGGTAATAATTACTAAATAACCTAGTAACTTAGTGCCTTACATATTACATTAGTCTTTTATACTTCATATATTTTTATTATTCAATGGACATGACTGGATCGAATATTTAAATTTTATGAAACTGAGTCACAATATAACAGGTCTATTATAGGAAATTCAATAGCATTAACAGTGTTTCACAGGAACGGTCCTTATGTTATCAATAATTGGATGTGTCATGGTATCATTTGGGATTAAATCCACTACTAGGAGACATAAGGTTGCTGTGTTAATCCATTTAAATTATTTTTGCACTCTCTGAACATAGAAACTCTTTTACCTTTGAGTAAAGCTGTCAGGATGGCTAAATCAATGTCCTGGTGTCCTTCTGATCCCATCCGAAATACTGTAATCTGCAATTTGAGACAAGGTGACCATTAACAATTCACTTCTTCCCCCAAGAGAACTTGAATCAATAAGACCATATCTGAACACAGACTATCTTAATATCTATAAGGTAGATTCTTAACCACAAAGAAAGCATATATACGAAGAATTCAATTAGAGGGCTCTGTAATTCATTAAGAGGGAGATGCCTCAGGAGCCTCCAAATAGAAACTACCACCTTAGATTATTGCACTGATTATGGTTACAGTCTCTGAAACCAGATACCCAGGGACATGTCTCCTTCTGTCATTTCAGTTTTAGAATTAAAACTTGCTGGATTTACAAAAATGTGTTAAGCCATAATTTAAACT